GAAGCCTCCTGGCCCCTTTCCCTCTTTTTCCTCGCATCGGGATCGTCGCCCTTTGTGCCTGAAGGATCATTTCCTTAAGGCACAGCCACCTTTCTTGGGCTCCCATCACTTCAAAACTCCTATTCTGCAGTGCGTCCTTGACTATTTGCCTGAGTTCATTGAGATCAGCTTTCCTAAAGTCTAGCACTTTCACCCTACTAGTTACCTTACCCACTCGATGTCTTATGGTGAATTCTATTATTAGGTGATCACTGTCCCCCAGATGGCTACCGATCTGTAGGTCCCCAACCATGTCATCCCCCATTGCCAATACCAGATCCAGTATGGCATTCCCCCTAGTGGGACCACGTACCTCCTGTGTCAGGTGGAGGTCCTGTACACAGGTTAGAAACCTGCGTGAGCGGTGGGACTGCCGTCTGTGTCTCCCAGCAGTTGTCTGGGTAGTTTAGGTCCCCCATGACTACCGCCTCTTTAGCTTTTATGGTCTCTGAGAGCTGCCTCAGGAGCCCCGCATCTATTTCTTCCCCTTGATGTGGGGGTCTGTAGCAGACCCCTACCACCAAATCCCTTTCTCCTTGCCCCCCATGTAGCCTAACCCACAATCCTTCTACCTCCTCATCCTTGGATTCTGTCTTGATGAGGGTTGACGTATATTGCTCACTGACATAGAGCGCAACCCCTCCCCCCTTTTTCCCCACCCTGTCCTTTCTGTACAATCTATAACCCTCAATATGTACTGCCCTGTTAGCAGGGCAGTACAGACCCCTGCCCTGAATAGGATCACTGCCTCTGTACTGGAACAGGTTCCTTTAAAATGCTACGCAGTGTTACTGCCTTCTAGGTTGATTGATTGTCATTTTTTAGGTATTAAGACCAAGAACTAAAACCAAGCTAGCTTTTTCTTTATTCTCTTCCCTTATTCTCCCTTTCATTTCTATTTTTCTTTTTCCTGATTCTGTAATATTGGGAAGGAATAAGAGCATGTGCATGGCTCCCCATTTTTGCCTCAGAATTTCTTAAAGTGGATGTAGCCAGTGGTACTGAATAGATGAAACTTTCTCAAAACTTGCCTTCAAGCAAAGGTATATTTTGTGCCAATCCAAACAGACACTGTAAGAGCAAGTCAACTGAAACAAGTAACTTACATATGGCCTGACTGAGAGAGAAATTGGCAGGGTTTTGGTTTTTTTTTGCTTGTGTGAACGTGGAAATGGGGAAACAATAAGGGGTACACTCAGTGGTCCTAGCAGCCTTTTCCTGTCGCTCATACTTGATGTCATCAATTCCCATGTAAGCATGAGACTACGCTTTACCTAGTCCTGTTCTTTTTTTACAAAATATTTAACTACATAATGCTACTACAATAGCAGATTTCTGTCAGTATTTTGTAGCACGAGAATTCGGGAACAAAATTTGGTATGAAAGTTATGAAGTAAACTGCTTTGTCTAAGAAGCACTAAACAGACAGAATAGCACTTACTATAGACCAATATTTTGTACTTACCATTTTTGCTGGAATAAAGCAGCAGAAGTACCAGGGAGCCATATGTGAGGGGCTGCATTTTATGTCCATCAAGTAAGAATTTGGGGACTTGTGGAAGTTCAAGGAATGGATAATATTTTACATGGCAAATTTTTATAACGGACACTAACACTTTTTTGATGATACAGGGGAAATAAATATTAGATTTAAATGGATCTCTTATGTACAGCATAACTGAGGAAAAGCTTGGTTTAAAACTTCTAGAGCTAGAAACTTCACCTTCAACTTGAAAGCATCTCTTCAGTGTCCCAAGACCTTTAGTAATGTAGCTGGTTATTTGGAGCACAGGCAATCTACATTTTTCACTGGAAAAGGTTTTAGACCAGTATTTTGCAGGATGCCTATTCTCTTTGCCTTTCTTAGGATATCGAAGAAAAATGTTATATTTCTATGACACTTTGAAAGTCTGTACATATGACTTAAAATACATGTGGTGGATTTTTTTGGTAACAGAAGACTGATGATCCAGATGTGATTCTCTGTAATGCCGTAGAGATGATCCGTGAACGTTTAACTGTATCTGAGTGTGATAAAAGGGAAGAGCACAAAAAGAAGGAAGATGATTATGTTTATGATATTTACTACATGGAAACATCAACCCCTGGTTGGATTGAGAATATCTTGTCTGTGCAGCCCTATAAAGAGGAATACGAACTGGTAAGGGTCTGGAAATCAAATTAGACCTTTTTAGTAATTTAAGCAGCTAATGGAAGAGTATTAATCATGCAAAATATGGCCTCTTGCTTTTATATTTGTAGCTCAGTTACTTTATTATCAAGCATACACTTTCTTTCTACACGCTCTGCATACTAAATGTAAGTTCCTTTCAGGTTGTCAAGACAAAGTGCATCTTATCTGACACTAACAGTCCTGTTAATTTTTTTTCATTAGTTTTACTAAGCTCTGAACTATTATTTTTGTGCTAACTCATTTTGGTGCACAAGAAAGGAAAGAATTTAGGTCATTTGTACTTCAGTTGTATGGTTCTTCATGGTCGACAGTTGTAAAGCAATAAACTAATTTTTCATTGAACAGTTATGACTGTACTTGTCCAAAAGGAAGCAGAAAGATATCAAGGAAACCAAGTTAAGATGACAGAGAGAACCGGAATTGTGGCATTCCCTAAGTGTTGAGTACTTTAGAGCCTTGAATGTTCTTTTCTTTTAGTTCTTTTTTGTGAGAGAATGACTTTCTGTCATGATGTAACTTTGTAATTAATTCAAAGCATAAGCTGTTCAAAGTATAAATTATTTAAAGTGTTTTTTCGTCGCATGTCCTCTGGTCCATTGGTTCCATACACCAAAATGAGATGCAGCTTTTATCATTTATATATGAAATAGTTAATCTATTCCTTCTCCCCATCTAATATACAATGACTTAATTACAGCTGAAAGTGGATGGAATTAATTTTGCTGTTAATTTCAAAATAGGTAAATACCCAATTGCACTTAAGCTATCAATAGTTTATTAGTTACTGTAGTTTCATATGCGAAAACGTAAGCTGTGCCATACCAGAAAAGACTGTAGTATAACTAGTGTAGCTATAACTTTAACTACTGCATAGTTGTACTGTAATTGGCTTAAGTATGACTAGTGCATCTTTCTTCATCCTCATTCACCACTGTGTACATGGGCATAGGAATTGCTTAGTGCTTTTTGTGACATCTGTTTCCCCTCTGTCGATTTTGACAAATGCAGGTAGCAGATCCTATTTCAGAAGAAATATATGATGATGAAGACGATGAGAATGATGAGAATAATTGGCGTAATGATTATCCTGATGAAGATGAGTTCCTTCCTGAAGAAAATGAGAACAGTGACAGAGAAAAAGGTATCATAGTCCTAATTATGGCTTTTTTTCATGCCTCCGAGTTGGTTCCTTCCAGTGTAAGTGCATCTGCACAACAATTGATAGTTCAACAAAAAGGACAATGGCTTACATTTTCTAAAGCTAGTCCTTTATACTGGCTACAAAAAATCAAATCGATAAGATTGTAACTTAATGGCATACAACTTGAGGTGACTAATATTGAATGATCTCTCTCAAGTGGAGGGAGAACAATCATTTGGTTGTGTACTTCTAAGGCAGTTTTGAGAGGAATATATTCTATTGCAGGTAGCAGATGATAGAAATAAGCTTCCTTATTTTCATGCATCCTACATTCACAAACAAGTATTAACTGAGATCGTAGTAACTACTGTAAAGAGTTCAGTAAGACTTAAAATCCAAAATTCCTGAAAGCCTTTCTGGGTTAGTAAGCTCCTGACAGCTAAGACCATGAAGATTTCTTCAGGATTGCTGCAGACATTTTCTTTGTGTTTCTTATATACAACAGGAAAGATGCTTGTGATTTTACACCATTACTCTACCATCCTTGCAGTAGCTTTTTCTAGTGGTTTCTGACTTCCTATGTCATGAATGAATGAACTCTGTTATTCTGACTAAACTACTTTGGCCAGACATAAATATCAAACTACTGCACCTACAGAGAATTTTATTGGAGGCCTGCCTCGCTTAGAGATGGAATTCCTATTCTGCTCTGACCATATTAAGTTCCTGAGTCTAGCCACAGACTTTGAGGAAAACAATATTACTACCCCAGGAAATTTATATTGCAACTGAAAACTGGTTTATAAGAGCAGTACTGTTATATTGCTTTTGTGCATAGCTTTTACTTTAACACAAAATAAGGAACTTAGTACTACTATATTTTGAGTAGTTGATTTATAACTGCAGAACTACAGACTTGTAGTTCTAAAATTTTTCTTCTCTCTAGAGTCTGAGGATGGGAGTTTCAGTGATGAAGATGGTGGGGGTTACAAGAGGAGAGCCTGGGATGCATACCATAGTGATATTCTACAAGAGTTTGCATGTGATGAGGCCCGAGACTTGGATTCTGATTAAATTATATTCAAAATACTAACCTACTGTATACATGGTATTATATTCTTGTTCTCCTTGGTAAGATCTATGGGGAACAAAAATAAGTGCTGCTTTTCATGGCTATTTATAGAAATGAGATTAAAGTTAAAGAATGGGAAAGCATTTCTCTCTTGCAAAACAAGTAGTTTCCTAATGTTCCGTAAAGTGCTACTTGTGAAGTGGGGAAATGTTAAGTTAAACCATCATCCATCTGTCTGATCTCAAGAAGTAGTAATATACCAGATTGTCACCAATTTACCTTAATACTGTTGCTCGCTAAAGCAAATTACTTGCTAAAAATTATTGGCTATTTCTTTTAGCAAATAAGCATGTGTACAACACAGCGCCTATTTTCATCAAATAAGACATTCACTTCTTGAATGAGGAAGTTATGTTCCAGTTTGAGTATTATAAGAGACTGAAAAGAGCAGAGAGGAAACCATGGCTTTAGGTAAAATCTTGATTGGTAAACCTCCTAGAGATTACTACTACATTTAGTTTTAACAAACAAGAGAGGCTGTGTAGTCTCTACATAGAAATGGAAGGATCAAATATAATCAGTAAACATGTTCTATGGATTATTGTCTGGACACTTTTTTGCCTTTAAATATTTGTTACTAGAATTGAGTAAAGTATTTATGCACTTTCGTAGGTAAATAAAGAACTGATTTGTGGAACTGATTGTAGCAGTGTCTTTAAAAGCAAAACAGAAACAAATTTAGACCTACCACAGCTGGTCTTAAACAGTCCAACTCAAGACAGAGGCTTACACTGCAACATTTTAAATCTTCATAGATTTCATAGACATTAGGGCTGGAAGGGACCTCGGAAGATCATCGAGTCCAGGCCCCTGCCCAAAGGGCAGGAAGTCAGCTGGGGTCATAGGATCCCAGCAAGATAAGCATCCAGTTTGCTCTTGAAGGTGTTCATTGTAGGCGCTTGAACCACCTCCGGTGGCAGGCTGTTCCAGACCTTGGGGGCTCGGACAGTAAAGAAATTCTTCCTTACGTCCAGCCTGAAACGGTCTTGTAGTAGTTTATGACCATTCGACCTAGTCGTCATCCTTTGGGGCGCTCTGGTGAACAAACGTTCCCCCAGATACTGATGGTCACCCCTGATAAACTTATAGGTGGCCATCAGATCACCCCTGAGCCTGCGCTTTTCCAGGCTAAAGAGCCCCAGGGCTCTCAGTTTGTCATCGTAGGGTCTGCTTCCCTGACCTCTGATCATGCGCGTGGCTCTTCTCTTGTTAAATAGTCAATAGGAACTTTGGTCCCAGTTCATCCCAGAAATCTAAAGTCAAGAGTACAGCTATCATGTAGTTATATTTGTAGTGGTGGAACAAGTGATACTACTATTAAAGAGTTGGTCCAGCATATATTTTGCTTGCAAATTATACAGAAAATAATACAATTATCTCTGATTTGGTTAGTGACGTTTAGTTCTAAATTGAGGATAAAATGGTCATTTTCTAGTCCATGAAAAAAAAATCTGAAGTGATCCGTTAGCCTTTATTGTACATTGTGGAGCATTATCTGGTTTTTGACTACTTAATACTGGAAGAGGGAAATTAGTGCTCCTCTATATAAATAAAAATAAACAGGACTCAAAAACACTTGTAAAAGTCTTAAAAGCTATTGACATGTTGCTTTTCTGCTTCCTTTTTCAGAAGCACTGTCTGCTTCTGCTCACAGAAGGGCCCTTTCCTTACACATCAGAAGTTCGAGAGCCTATGGAAGCAAACTATCAGATATTACTTTATTAATGAAAATGACTGTATTTACTTCTCTGTCTAGATATATGGATTACACCATAGACGATTAGGATCACACACTTCCTGTCACTGAAATATACCTTAACATAGTAAGTGGAAAAAACTGGTCTCAGAATAGATTTTGAACTTTGAATTTATAAAATATGCCCAAGCTTCTTGGCAAATCTATTGCCTGCTGAGATTTATAATCCTTTATACAGTTAAAGCTTCAAAAATACTGAAGTGCTCCTACTTAAAGAATAGAGTGCAGTCTATCACAGCAAGATTTAAGTAGTCAAATACCACTTTTAATTAAATAATTAGGTGAGACAACAAAAAAGATTTGTGAGATTTAAAAAAAAATCTGTGATACTTAAACAAAATACCTACATTGAAGTGTACTTAAATTTACTTAAAACAGTAATTAAATCCAGTGGTTGGTAAATGCTGCAGAATGCTACCAGTTTACAACAAAATCTAGCACTAAATTTAATCTGTACCACAACTTCAACTTTGCCTTACAGGTAAAACAAGATTGACTAGAAACTCAATGCCCAGGAGCCCGACAGTTATAACAAGTTTTAAAACAGTTTATAGTATTAGCAATTTCTTAGCCTCTCAATGAAAATCTTTCAGTTCAATGGAATGCAGGTTTGATGTGGCTTGCTTCAAACTGAAAGAAGCAGATTTAGAAAAATAAATTACTGAGACCTAGAAGGGATGCACACTGCAGACTTCCAATTCACAGTTTGATTCAGTTTTAAACAAACATTTAGACCAATGTTTTGAAAATAAGAGAAACTATACCAGAAGCACAATCCACAGTGCTTGCTCCTTTTGACTGCTGTACTTTAAGATGGCTACAATTTTAACAAATTGTACCTCTTCCCTCCCTTTATTATAGTGATGATGCATGCTAAAATTGTAGCTACCCTGAGTGCAGATCCAGGAGTGATAAAAGTGCTCATGCTGAAAGCCAATGAGTCTGCTTTCAAATTCCAAAATGCTCAAGATTCACTTTCTGTCTTGTTGCTATATTGTTCCCTATCTGTCACTTCTACCACTTCAGTTTTCAAGTTGACTTAATAGCTATGGCAATACTCACTTATGCTAGAAGACCTTATACAATATTGCATTTCTTCCCATGAACAGTATTAGAAGCTATATTCTGGGCTTGGTAACACTGTTTGTGTGTTACATTTATGAACCACTCAAACTTCAACATTTGGGTTTATGTATTGGGATTCCATTTAAACCAGTTTGCCTAATCAGAGCCTCTTTAACATTAAAAGCCCTGCTTATAACCATTTCAGGAAAAAAGGTTTGTAAAGTTCATAAAAGATGCTGAATGAACTAAGCTTTGAATACTAAAATCTTCTTTCCACCCAAGTTACCACATCGGTGAAATGATTTTCCAGGAAAAAGTTCAGCTTAATCTGTGTTTGTCTGTATTCTCTGCTGTAACTGTCAATGAGTTTTGCCATGGCTGATTTTCTGTCAAGATAAGGAAGTCATTTGACATAGGCCATGGAGCATCCTTCAGATAGGAATGGCTTTTGGTCACTTAGGACATGAAGTGGCTTTGAATTCAACTGAGAGTTATTATTCTACTGTCCTCCGAAGTCTGTTTAATTTGATCACTCAGCTCCACCATCCAAAGATTTATTGCTGCTCTTCTTACCACCTCAATCCCACTTCTCTGAGATTTCATCAAACTACAATAAATAGCTGTCAAACATTGTTCCTGTGGGAAATAAGTGGATAAAAATCTATCCTGAATGTTGTAGTTAAGGGGAAGACTATAACAAAGCATGGTCTGCATAGAAATCCCTCTTCAGGTATCGCTGATATCTGCTTCTGGCTCTGATCCTTCAGTTGTCCCATTTTTCCTGTTGAGCTTTTTCTGTTCCCTTAGTTGCATATTATTTGCTTTTTACATTGTTTTGGAATTGCTTTGTATCTTTAGTAAGACTTGGTCTCCCATTTCTTTTCTTCACTCTTGCCCATCTCTGTCAAAACACAGTAACAAAGCAGCTGGGTAGCTCGAGTAATAGCACCTGCACAGGAAATTGAAGAAAAAAAAAATCAGATAAGTATTTACCACCATAAGAACAGCTGCTTACCTAAAACTTAACTTCATAGACAATTGTTCTATGTATAAGATGATAATTGAAAAATCTTGAAATAGTCATTTCTTAGAAAAAGACACATGAAGCACACTAAGTTTCCACTAAAATGTTTGGTTTAGCATCTTTAAAAGCCATGAACAAAAACATTGTGTTGTCCTAATGATGTCTTAAGGTTTTTGCCAAGCATCCTGTCCCATCGTTGAAAATGCCTAAAGTAAAATGATAACATTTAAAAAGCAAGGAAAGGGGCATGAGGGGAAAGTTTTGTATAAACTTTAAGATATGGTTTAATTGTTAACTTATAGAACTACTGCTGATGTACTGTACCCATTCATAAATTAAGATTAAACTCATACCTAATCCTTATACAAGTAAAACATTGTGCTTTAATGCACAGTAGACTATTTTACTGCACGTTAAAGTGTCACATAAACTGACATTATGCTAATGCATAGTAAAATAGTCTGATGTGTTTTAAGCGTCACTAAAAAAAGCACGCAAATGCACTGCTGCGCATTAGCACAGCCTAATGCACATTCATTTAGTGCCTCATGTTGGAAGCACTAAATTTAATATGCATTTAAAAAGGTGCATTAATGCACACATAGATTGAGCAGTAGGACTGATAGAAGAGGGTGATTTATTCTGAATTGCAGCAATTCAGCAAAAGTATACAGTAGGCAAAATTCTAAGGAAATTAGTTTTCAGCTGTGAATGGCATAAACATTCGTTCTCATCAGGTCTGGGAGTGTATAAAGTCAAAGCAAGACCACTTGTATGACAGTCAAGTCATTTTAAAATCATAACTAGGTTTCCCAAATAAGATTGTTAATGTTTGATGAAATGGGAATGCAATGAAATGTATCAAATGGCAAACAATGTATCCATTTTCTTTTGTACAATAATTGAGATAGGCTTAATAAATAATATTTTATTTAATTTTATTGCAACAGTCTTAATTTATTCTAACCATCTACCAGCACTTACCTAAAATCTTGTTGATAAAGGGAGGTCTTCTGGATATGGGCAAATAGACTCCTATGAAGTAGACTGGAATTCCAGACAAAGCAATACCAATTCCAATCAATGAATTAATGGTGTCACTATACAGAGGCACTACCACTAAAAATACTGAGCATATACAGAAGACTATTGGGAAAAAGAGGCTCAGCTGAAAAAGAAACACATATACAAAACTGTTCTTGTTATAATATCAAATAAATAAGTGACATCTAGAATGTTATTTTCACTTTTTATTTCCCCATATGAAATCAGCCTGTGTTACCTAAAATGTACTCAGCTAGTCAGAATAATAGGTAGATATTGGCACAACCATAGTATAATAGCAAAGACCTTTGTGGGCAAAAATAACTGATGAGAGTGTCTTTGTACTGGAGCAGAGCAGTTTAACTGATTGCTTAACTGAGATGTCACCTTTCAGAGCAGTGAAGAGGGCCCATTAGTTCCAGGAAATTTATCTAGTTTTTTGCTAGAGAGATATGCTAAAAGGATCAGAGAGTCAGGCAAACACTGGCTCTAAAGGTTCTCCAGGCATAATCTGCCATCCCTAACTTCAAACAAGACAATGGAAAGGAGGGGAGAAGGGAAGGGAGCTAAGGATAAAACCACTTGACCTGTAATCCAAGGAGCAAGGCTTGCTACTGTTTTCAGTTATATGAGCTACTCCATGGGACAGAGGGAGGGGTAGTGGCTAAAGTGATACATAATGAAGAGAATATCAGATTACAAGAGTTTCATTAGGTTGAAGTGTTGGAGCCACAATGATCCAGGAAGTATTGGAGTCAAGGATATTTTTGTGATATCTTTTATTAGACCAACTAGAGTTGAAAGAAGTGTTTCACTCTCACCTAGAGGCTGAGCTCCGATAGATTTACAATTCAACAGTACCATTCTGACAATGCATATGGCCCAGTCTTTAAGTAGAAGAGATCTTAAAAACAATTTTGCATATATTAATTCTTACCTTAAGAGGCCTTGGACGCTCTGGTTCCTTCCAGCGTAAATACAATTGCCCAGCAATTGATAGTCCAACAAAAAACCAGTAACTGAAACTGAAGTAGTTAATAAGAAGGAAGACATCTTCTACAGTGAGGTAAATGATGGTCATAGTACACTGTTAAAAAAGAAGAGAGGTCCCAAAAAGTGATATCTAGTTTTCAGGAGTTTACTGTTATTTTTTCTATATGCACATTGAAGTAACACCACCTCTTTCATGCCTGAGCCTCACACGATTTTATCATTCCCGAGAGTGAGATTGTAACAGATTTCCTAAAGTAGTCAGTATGGAACTAGTACAAAATCTCTTGCCATTGAACAAAGAGGAAGGCAGGTCCAATGCTAAATTTAAGAACCAATCTCCAGCTAAGTATCTAAGGAAAAAATTTAGAAGAGGGGCAAGATGCTTTGAGTACAGTTATCTGTGAGGAAATGCTAAAATAGCTGGATTTTTATTATTCCTAGTTCATTTATATCCTCAAGATTTAAAACAGCTTGAAGAACTTGTATTTGATGTTCATAAGTCCCATTGAAAATTTAAGAGGCACATCAGTCAGCTCATAGATGTTAGGGTCGGAAGGGACCTCAATAGATCATCGAGTCCGACCCCCAGTCTTACTTTAGCATTTATTTTATTATTTTTAAAATCAAAGACAAAACTGCAGATGAACTGCACGAACAAAGTGTTCATTTCATTCCAGTTACAGACTTTGTAAATTGCCTCTGCTTTTCAGAATTTTTTGCATTTTATCAACTCTAACTCTTAAGGTGTCATCTTATTTCATATACGAGATCATTTCATGTTGTGTATAACATGTTTCTTCTGTTAAAGAACTCCAACTCAATTTTAAAAAATACATGTTGAACTGCTTGCAAACCCTCAAACACAGAACTTAAAAAAATACAGTAGCAGCAACTCACATTGAACAGCAGTGCAGGTATTGGTGTGAATCTTCCTAAGTGTATCATAGACAACAGATCAGGGAGATGGCCTTCCCGGGAGCCTACAAAAAACAGCCTAAAAAAGACATACGAAAGCATAACTCTTTAAGCTAAGGGAGAATACCAAATACATGAACAAAACACATATCCTGTCAGTGTTTGAGGGCACTGATAACTATTTTAATAAACCTGTATGTATATATTCAATCCATCTAATACAAACATTCCTATTGCATCTTTTTAGAAAGAAAATTCCACTGATAAATTAGTACACTCTGTGGTAACTGGGGCAGTTTTCCACTGTTAAGTGTTAAAAGCACACAAAGACTGCTGTTATAGTCACTAGATTTCATTACGATATAAGTGATTTGTTGCATATAAGAATGAGTTTGAAGTGCATTAAGTTTAAGCATATACCCCACCGCCCAAGACAAAAAAAGTTATTCTACCAGTAAACTAGAGAATAACATTTACATCACTTGTCCAAAGAAGGTGACAATAAATGAGACCACAGTTTAATCACCTACTGAATATCATTCATCATACCTTAAATTATACTATTGATATTATATGCAGTGAAGTTTGGAGAAGCAAAGTGGTGATAAAACAATGCATAAAACAAACCATAATCTATTGAGACCTGTCACTTCATAGTGATATTCTTTAAAGGCCTTGATATCACATTAGTTTACTCTGTCATAAAACAACAATTTAGCCAGAAGTTATTATGAAGCAAAGCCAAAATATTACCTAGATGATGCTAAAATTGAGGCGTTAAGTCCACCAAAACATGAAAAGGCTACAGCAATGGGAATTGTCCAACTGAAAATGCCGAATACCTGGTCAGCAAATGTCTAATAGACAAAGAAAAGGGAAAAATTGAAATGTTTCTAAATGACAGTACAGGAATAGAACAGTAAACTCAGAGCTATTCTAATATGATGTGTAAAAAAACAATATGCATATTAGGAACCATCCACAGTGCTGCAAAAACTGGCAGCCAACACTTGCAGTTATTTTATTGATTCAACACAAAATTAACTTTCATTAAGTTAAGCTATTTAATTTGGACTTACTCCTCATAAAGTCCAGTAAGCCCTTGTCTTAGAACAATTCATAGAGAATTATGTTCACAAAATTTATAAAACAGATTTTAAATTGGATTTTCACTATTAAGTTGCATAATACAGCACATTAATGGAGGTGAGAGAAATCAAACCAGTGTAATACACTGGCTTCCAAAGAAACAATAATGGGAAAATATTTTGAGATCCAAAGAGAGAAATGGTATACTGTAGAAGGCAACAAACGCATCAATTTTTATCTCCCTCATGCAGCCTTGCCTTGGCCTGGAGCAGGCAAACTGTCAGCCAACATCAGCCTTTTTATTACTGCTGCTAGACCATGCTGCATGCTACTGTGGTGGCCTCCAGCAGTAATATACCTGGGAGGTGGAGAAGGACAAGCAGAGCATGAGCCCCAGTAGCAAATTATGAAGTGGGCACAATGCCCCTGCCCCTAGTAGTCTTTGCCACATTAGACACAACCCTGCATTGCCCAACCATAGGATCCAGGCAGGTGTAGCCCACATGCAGCAGTGTATCTGGGGGGCAGGACGGTGAGCAGAATGGCACCCCCTAGGGAGTCTTTTCAAGGCAGGTGCAGCTGTGTGCCCAACAGTGTATTGGGGAGAGGAAGGAACAAATGGAGCATCAGGGCAGCTCCCATGGAGTCCATGTTGCTACATCAACCACAGGCACAGCAGTAGCAGCTGCCTCCAGAGTGCAAAGAGCCAGGACAGGTAATCAGCTCTCCTTCACTCCAGTCTCCAGTCAGAAGAATTCTCCCACCTCAACCCCTCACATGCTGAAGGAGTTTGCTACAGCTCTGGCCTCAAGTGCTAGTGCTCTGGAGTAAGGAAGCCAAGAGCACCATGGTTTTACAGCAGGTGGGTTTCCAGAGGCCTGTACTCTGGAAACAAGAATGCAATTGTTTAACACCATAATTTACAAGGTATCGCACTAGATAATTTTTTGTTCATCAATGTATTTCCCTCTGAATGAAAGCAATAGGACAGAATCCCAGAAAGTAAGGTCTCAGGCTACATGAAAATAAGGGTTTAATTCAAAGTGACTAACAGTCTCTCAGTCTAAAGTTTCTCCAGGTCTGGGCCCTATACCATAGATGCTGGATACTTCCCTGGATTACGTTTATTACCCCATGCAAAGATGAGGGTTTGTGAAATACTTAGGAGCATACACAATCCTGGCAAACTGCTGCAGGGGACTACTGAGGTGATCCAGCTGTTTGCTGCAGCTCTAACTTCAAGGGCTGCTGCTCATCAGTTAATAAGCAGCTGTGTCCTTTGAAGCAAAAGACACAACAAACAGCTGAGTGACATGTTCTCAATTTGATAACCTGCTACAAATTAAAGGAACTGCAAACCACCTGAATACAAATGATCCAAGTTCTATCATCTCTTTAAATAATGTTAAACTAAGCTAAAAACACCAAATCCTTCCTTGTCCCACTGTGCTTAGCTGGAGAAAAATTCCCTTACCCAACATGGAAACTATTTTAGATTTCAGCTATGAGACAGAAGTTCCATCTCACATCCATGACAATATTGATTGAAGCAAACTAACAAAGATGGAAGCAGGTGCAAACTTTGACTCATTATGACTGTATGGAGTCATTTTGTCAGTTATGAAATGGAAACATATTTTGGGTTATACATAAAAAAAAAAAAGAAACAACTGGCTGATGGTATCCAAATAACATTCACAACAAACATCTTTTATAAAATGAGTTGCAGGAAACAACCTGCATCTTTACCATAATCACAGACAAGATAAATACTTGACAGCTCAGTATGTTACTAACCATCTACCACATCCAGTAACTGTTTCTCTCATTAGTTTCTTGAGCTTTATTCTGATGCATCAGTTTTGAGATTTCAATGTTCCCAAATGGCAAGAGCT